TTTGACATCATTACTGGACTCCTTACATGTTTCCATAACTTCCTCTTGCCTTTATGTAATATATTTAGTTTTTTATAGTCAAATCTATTATAGTAATTCACTCACTAACGAAAATTGACAGTAAAGTAGTGGCCTCTGATTTGTGTGTATATTGTTGCTACATAAACAGTAAGTTTGTTAGCATGGCTTTGCAGACACATAGACAGGTAGACAAAGAGAGAGAGAGATGTGGTGGAACAAATATTTCACATAACCTGTTGTGTCAATCTACCACACCATGCACATGCATATGGCTGCATGTTGTCTCCATGTGGGGGGGGGGTCATGAGGGCCAGCCGTTCATTACCCTGTACCACCGCTGTTAGAAGTTTGTAAATCTTACTGACCATTCAATATTGTAGTTGTAAGTAATGCCTATTGAATTTTTGTTTTTCAAAGTAAAATCTGGATGATAGCTCACAGTTCCAATGTATAAACCTCTTCCATTAACCCAAACTGCAGTGTCCCTCACAATGTTTGTTAGATCATTCAAGTAACATGTGTGTTAGTGGGAAGTTTCAGCACAGTGACTCGCCATCAAGTTATGGGACAACTTGCTCACTCTCTGGCCTTACTATATCACGAATTCCTGACCCAGACTTTACATATATACAAATAATGGTAAAAACAAGTACAATACTATACTAAGAAACAACCCTATCAATCAGTTCCCAAGCCATACATAAGAACATAAGAATGGTGGAAACTGCAGCGGGCAGTCCCATTTACACCCAACCCCTATTGCTCATATATCCACCCAACCTATGCTTGAAGCTATCCATCGTATTTGAGCCAAGAATGATGTTTGGTAACTAGTTCCACTCGTCCACTACTCTATTTCCAAACCAATGTTTACCTATTTTGCTCCTAAATCTAAATTTGTCTAATTTAAAACCATTGTTACAAGTTTGCTCCTGGTTGGATAGTTTGAGTACCTTTGTTATGTCCCCTTTGTTTAGCCCTGACTTTCATTTACTTGTATACACCTTTATCATATCGCCCCTCACTCTATGTCTCTCGAGGGAGTGCAAATTAAGATGATTTAACCTGTCTCTGTACTCAAGGTTCCTAATGTCCGGATTTCTCTATAACATCGTTGTTCATCTGATATCTGGTTTCTCTGTTTACATCTCCTAGACTAAGTACTTTATATTTGTCCACATTGAATTTCATCTGCCATTTTTCAGACCATTCAAATTTTTTTTTTTAGATCTTCCTGTAGTTTTGCGGAGTCCTCGTCAGATTTAATTACATGCTCTATTTTAGTGTCATCGGCAAATTTACTTATGTTGCTGTCTTCGCCAATATCTATGTCGTTTATGTATATAATAAGTAATAATGGTCCAAGTACTGAGCCTTGGGGTACTCCACTTGTGATGTTACTCCAATCGGATTTAGTGCCATTAATGCTCACTCGCTGTTTTCTGTCCTGTAACCACGCCCTAATCCATTTTAGAATATCTCCTCCAATGCCATGAGCCTCCACTTTTCTTATTAGTCTTTCGTGGGGGACTCTGTCGAAGGTTTTGCTAAAGTCAAGATGTACCACATCATAGTCGTGCCCCTTGTCCACTGATTCGAAAACAGCTGAAAAGAATGTTAATAGATTAGTAAGACATGAACGCCCGCTTGTGAAGCCATGTTGAGAATCATTGATCATCTTGTGCTTCTCCAGGTGATTTCGAATAGAGTTTGAAATTATTGTTTCCAGTAATTTGCCTGCAATTGATGTTAAGCTGATTGGATGGTAGTTAGAGGATAGTGATCTATCTTCCTTCTTGAAAATCGGTATTACATTCGCTATCCTCCAGGATTCTGGTACTACACCCGTTTTTAAGGACATGTTAAACAATTTTGCTAAGGGCATACTAAGCTCTTCCTTACATTCCTTTAATACTCTGGCAAATATCTCATTGGGACCTGGCGACTTATTAGGTTTTAACTTGTCTATTTGCTTACTAATGTCATTACCAGTCATTACTATCTCGCTCAATCTATTTTCTTCACTATCTCTGTATATAGTCAATGCCTCAGGTATCATGTTGAAATTTCCGTCGTTATCAGTTAGCTTGCCGGTATCTGACTGTATTGGTCCAATCTTTTCTTGTGTTTTACTTTGATACATTTGAAAGAATCCCTTGGGGTTTGACTTCGCCTCCCTTGCTACCTTCAGTTCATTATTCCTCTTTGCCCTTCTTATCTCATTCTTAACCCTACTGGCCAATACCTTATAATAATCTTGAAGGTAAACTTCACGATTTATTCTTCTACCTATGGCCTTCCTTTGTCCAATAATATTCTTTAAATAATTGTTTATCTATTTAGGATCATTGTTGTCTGATCCGAGTTTTCTGTATGGTATGTTCAGCCTATGTGCAGAATATCGTTGTCAGGTCTCCAGGTAAAGTGAGCTTGCCCTCTGTGGGTACATTGCGTGAGGTCACCACACATGAGGTCATGTAATCCATCCCCAAACGTGATACCCCTTCTCTCAGCTGCCTTTTGAACCTATCAAAGTTTGCCCTTCTGAAATCTGGGACTTTAATGGAATTTTCCTTGCATCTGCCATTAAATTCTAATTGAAGTCTTATTTCTTTGTGACTGATGTTGGCAAGTTTGTTCCCTACCTCGACATTACTAATGAAGTTTTCTCTGTTTGACAGAACTTAATCGAGTATATTATTACCCCGGGTGGGTTCGGTTATATGTTGACTTAGGAAACAGTCTTGAACTGTTTCAAGAAAATCCTCTGATTCTGAGCTACCTGTAAGACCGATCCAATTTATTTGGCTAAAGTTAAAGTCGCCTTTTGTACACACTTTGCTATGTCTGGATGCCCTGCACATGTCATCCCAAATGAGTCGTTCATTAACTCTATCAAGATTAGGAGGTCTATATATTACTCCTGCGATTAATTTTTCTCTACCATCGATTAATTCTATCCAAATTGTTTCTGTATTCAGTTCAGTTTTTATTTCCATATTTATTTCACACTTCAGATTATCCCTGACATATATTGCTACTCCCCCTGCTTTCCTAATCTGCCTATCGATATGGAATAATTTGTAACTTGCAATTTGGTATTCAACAGGTAACTCTCATGAGTCTAAGTTTATCCATGTTTCGGTGAGTGCTATTATATCGATTTTTTCGGTACATACCAACGCCCTGATTTCATCCGTTTTGTTTCTCATACTCCTACTGTTTGCGTAGTAGACATTTAAGTTAGTCGTGTTCTGAGTCCTTTCTTTGACGCGTTTAGGTTTTAACTCCCTGCCTAATTTAGTTTTGTCATCATTCCTGGCACGATTTCCCTGTAACCTTTCACTCTGTTTACCTGCTCCTACTGCAGTCTCCTCCACCTCTGTGCCCATATGTTCCTCTAGCAGTTTAAAGACGTTGACATCTTTTGAACTGCCCTCTAGAGAGAGCCAGCCAGGGTTGCCACCCCATCCCCAGACACATGCACCCCATCCCTAGCATAAAGGTCCCTTCTGCCATAAAATTTGTCCCAGTTGTCAATGAATGGGACTGATATTGACTTGCAATATCTGTCAAGATGGCCGTTGACATCAATTGCCCTTGACAACGATTCATTGCCAACTCTCCTTCTAGGCAGGACGCCACATATGATAGGGATCCCTCCCTTCAACCTAATACGTTCTATAGCTGTCTTGAACTTATCAAGAAGCTCCTCACTCCTACACCGGCCAATATCATTGTCTCCTGCACTAAGGCAGATAATGGGTTTGTTCCCATTACCAGACAAGATATTGTCCATCATGTCAACTATATCCCCCACCCCAGCTCCTGGCAAACAAACCCTCATCCTATTTTTATTTCTACCACAAAAAGCTCTATCCAGGTACCGTACCTGGGAATCGCCAACAATTAAGGTTTTCGTACCTTCCTTCTCAGCCCTGTCCCTGACTATGCTAACGTTCAATTCGTCTATCAAAAAACTAAAAGAGTTTTTACTTGAGTTGTGCGACATTGCACCATGAGCAAGGGAGGTACGGTTGGGATAACATAACACCTGGAGGCAAATATACATTATTTTTATCTAGTTCTTTTTTTTTTCACATATACTACCCATATTTATTTTATAATTTAGTTCTAAGTCATTACCAGTATGTGAGACCTGACATCAAGACTTCCTCCACTACATTTGATCATGGATTGTGGAAAGTTGTACAGTACAGTACAGTATATAAATAATGAATGACAACTACATTATAGATGATGTGAGCAGAAGTGAACCATTTCTCTAGTGGATAAACTCTGTCAGCTCCTTTGAGATTTGATTTTGTGTGTTTATTATATATTTTCCCCAAGATTTATATTAAGTTTTGAGAAAAGCTTTTACCCCTGTAACACAGCCTTAAGTGTGGGAAACATGAAGTAATGTTTGCTTTAGGAAAAGTGTGTGTATGTATATGTGTGTGTGTGTGTGTGTGTGTCTGTGTTAACTTGTGCTTGATGTTTCAGTCCTTCCCATCTCTCTTTAACTCTGGTCTTACTCATCCCTTCAGTATACCCCACTTTTTTTTATGTTTCTGTGCCCCTTGGTCCACCTCACCCAAAAGTAACTAAGAGTAGATAGATGACCACATCAGAGTAAACAAGAACTGTGCTGAGAATTCTCTTTGTGAGGACCTGTTGACCTTGACCTCAAACACTGTCTAACTATGACAGAATTTAACTACTAAAGAACTATGACAGAATTTAACTACTGAAGAACTGCTTAATTTCTCTTGTTTTAATCTTTCTTTTTGGGTAATTTGTTTTGAGATAATGTTTACTGTACGTAGTTTGTTTACATACATACAGAGACAGAACCAGTCATGAACTTCCCTCCTGTCTTACATAAAATTCACCATGTATTTTTGGATGTGAAAATTGAACTTTAAAATTATTATTATATCTTACAGTGAATACAAATATCATGGATTCTCTTTCAGCCTGGTCCACGATTCTTGTGTATCCCTGTGCTGCTGCGAATCTTTCTCATCCCTGCCTTCGTGTTATGCCACTTCTATCCCGTTAATGTCGAGAGGATCATGCCTGTACTCATAGACTCTGACTGGGCATACTGGGTTCTCGGTGCCATTCTGGGCATAACTTCAGGATACTACTCCTCCCTGGCAGTTATGTATTGCCCAAGGTACAGTATACAGCAGAGTTCAACCTTTTATTGCAGGTTGGGTTTTTTAAATCTTATCTGCCATCTCTCACCCCCCTCAGAGACATTGCGCTGCCCAATCACTATATACAGTATCTCCTTTGTGCTCTATATTCCCCTTATCCCTTCCTCTAATCTCAGTTGGGTTCAGCTATAGGAAGAAATGTAGCTTTTGATGAACTTTGTTGTTTTACATGTATTTGGTGATTCTTTAATTACATACAGTAAGTGGGTTCATATTAAAAAATTGTATAACACTAATATTAATAATATTTATTCAGTAAAATCAAACAAGTTTACTGTTGGTTTGGTTTGGCATGTATATAAACTCTACAGGCATACAGTTCAGCATGACTATAGACAGTGTAGGTATCTGATGTATGTAGGCCATGAGAGTACAGTACAGTATACAGTTTCCTGTGTACCTAGACAATGCAGGCACACAACAGTGGTAAACAGTAAGGAAATTTGAGCAAGGATAGCTGACAAAGCTGTCAGGTGCTTATTTTCAGGAGGGTTCCTTTGCTTAAGCTTAGGGTTAGTCTCTAATCAGTACAGTAATAGAATATTTATAGGAGTAATAGTTTACAGTTGGTTTGGCATGCACAGTTCAGCATGTGTAGGCAGTGCAGGTACAATAGACTGTAAAGGTATTGTATACAGTTTCCAATATACCAAGACAGTGCAGGTATACAACAGTATTAAACAATAAGCCAATATGACCAAGCATCGCTGACAAAGCCATCAGATGTTTATTTACAGTAGTCAAACAGCTAAACAAGACAGACACGAGACATTTTGCACATTATTCACCATTAAAAGTAGGGCAAGAATAACATGGTAACAGACATAAGGGCCATGCAAAACTCCTCACACTTACAATGTGATGGGATAGAAAGAACTATGACAGGGAGAGAGGACAGAGGACAAGTTGTATGGAGGCCAAGTTTTATGCTGTGACACAAGGCTATTGACATCCATGACCCTGGTCAATACAGGGAATGAGCAGACCTCTTGTGTGGGCACCACTGTAGGTGAATGCATGGGTGGCTATCACCTATTGCTCACATAGAGGGTTATGTGGGTAATTCGTCTGTACAGTATGCAGTCTTTACCATCTTAACTTTTTGCATTCATTTCACATGTCCATGCCTTTTCAGCAAACTTCTCTTCATCCATTCCACAACTCTGAAATTTACACCTTCTGCTCCATAGGATATCAGACATGACCCCTTGAGACTGCTGTCATTTAACTAGATAGCATTTTTATCAAACTGGTGTGAGGATGATATTGTTGACATTGTGAGTTATCCAAACCAGTGCTGGTTGACGAGTTCTGAACATCTACATAGATTTAGCACAAACTAAAGCCACTGAAAAAAAGAAGAAGAAACTTTAGAATCCATTTTGGTTCAGAACCCCTTGTATACCCAGGGGGGTCTCTGCTGAATAAAATCACTTGGTGTTAGCCAAACAAAATTTTAAAAGTGGCATCCCATAGTGAGGGGGTTAAGCCATAGTTGATGATTCATAAGTTCAGTGGGTCATTCATTTTCCTGTCTCTTGGCAGTTTGAAATTTAGAGACTTTGTGAGCCCCCATGTCTGTTGCTGATCTGTGAATATTTTGGTCATGTAAACCGTAGATATTCAAGGCAGTAATTTAACCTAAAATGGCAAATTCCTTCACAAGAGACTACTATTCCAGACTGGTGCATCAGGAGGCCAGGTTGCTAGGTTAGTTTTGACAATACAAAAACACGAGTACAATACCGCATTAAAGAGAGAAAGTATTGGAATTTTCTGATGAAAAGGGGGTCCAGACCCCCAGAATTCCCCCCCCCCTTTCCGGATCTGCCCCTGCAGAGCTATGTTATAGTTCAACTCATAATTTTGGTTAAATATACATAATTTTCTTCATTTTCTTTTACTCTGTTACAGGCACACACATCATTCATACAGAGTCTGCCAAAAAATCAAATAAATAATTATCATAAGGTCAAAAACATAAAGGTATTAACAGTTTTTATGTAATCGGCAATTATCTCACAGAGCAGGGGAGCAGGGTGGGTGATCTCTCGGCTGTTCTCTGTCTGTGTCCCGTGAAATGATTGCCAGATGGGAATGTAGTATTTTTTCTTTTATTTATTATTATTTTTTTTCATCCAGGCAGTCACCAAGCTGATTCAAGAGACGTGTGGCTGCTACCTGTATGTCGTGACTTCACATAAGGGGTGACGTGCGGCTGGCCACACTTATTTCTCACTGCCTCGATACATATGTTCACTTCCCTCACATACACACCCATGCTCTTCATTTTTCTTATTGTATAGTTTTATAGTATACTGTGTGCACTATAAAACTATAACATATTGTATTGTACTGTATACAGTTATATGAGAAAGGGTGTTAAAAAATTAAAATTGCTAAGTGAATGATCGTGAAATAAGGGATACCTGTATAATCTTTCTAAAGTGACCAGTGTTGAAAACATTAGTCTACTATTTATATTTGCTCCTTTCACAATTTCAGGACAGTTGAGCCAGAGTATGCTTCTGTAGCTGGTATGATGGGAGCAGCATCACTTATTACTGGCATTTTTGCAGGCGTCAGTTTCCAGGTAATTTTGACTGTCTCCTTTATGTTGTATTTGAGAAAATTTGTTGTGCAAAGTCCATACAGCAGATTTTATTTTAAAAACCAAAGTAGCTAAAGAATAATGTAGAAACCATGAAGAAAAAAAGGTAGATGAAGGATTGCAGTACAGGTGAGTTCTCATTATTGAAAACAGAATGGTGTGGAATGACTTGTCAGGAAACGAAAGGTATAGAAAGGGAATTAAGATCTTATGAAAGGATAATAAAGTAAGATTTTTTTTTTTTAGAAGTTTTTAATAAGGGACCAAAGGGCCCCATAGCAACATTGTTGACATCCCCCCCCCCTCCCCCCCTATAGAGACCATTTTTTTTAGTCACCACTGCACTGCAACAGCTGTGTGGGCACCACATAGCACAGCCACATTGACCTATTACTAGCACATTAGCTACATGATTATGGCACTATATATCACTGACACGGTGAGACAGATTTAACATTTTATCTCTTGTATATGTTTGTAAAGATCTGGTAAAATGATCTTGGAGTCAGGTGATATGTGCCTCAACACCCCGCCGACCACCTCCACACCCCGCCCTCCACCTCCACATCCTGCACCTCCACACCCTCCTGCCCTCCACACACACACACACCCCCCTGCCCTCCACACACACACCCCCCTCCACACACACACACCCCCCTGCCCTCCACACACACACACACACACCCTGCCCTCCACACACACACACACCCCTGCCCTCCACACACACACCCCCTGCCCTCCACACACACACACACCCCCCTCTGCCCTCCACACACACACCCCTGCCCTCCACACACACCCCTCGCCCTCCACACACACACACACACCCCCCCTCGCCCTCCACACACACACACACCCCCCCCCTGCCCTCCACACACACACCCCTGCCCTCCACACACACACACCCCCTGCCTCCACACACACACACCCCCTCGCCCTCCACACACACACACCCCCTCCCTGCCTCCACACACACCCCCTGCCTCCACACACACCCCCCCTGCCCTCCACACACCCCCTGCCTCCACACACCCCCCCGCCCTCCACACACACACACCCCCCCCCTCCCCACACACCCCCTGCCTCCACACACACACACCCCCTCCACACACACACACCCCCCTGCCCTCCACACACACACACCCACCCCTGCCCTCCACACACACACACCCACCCCCTGCCTCCACACACACACACCCACCCCCTGCCCCTCCACACACACACCACCCTGCCTCCACACACACACACACCCCCCTGCCCCCACACACTGCCCCCACACACACACACCCCGCCTCCACACACACACACCCCCTCCACACACACACACACCCCCCCGCCTCCACACACACCCCCCTCCCCCACACACACACACACCCTGCCCTCCACACACACACACACACACCCCCCTGCCCTCCACACACACACCCCTCCCCTCACCACACACCCCCTGCCCTCCACACACACACCCCTCACACACACACACACACCCCCCTCCCCTCCACACACACACACCACCCCTCGCCCCCTCCACACACACACACCCCTGCCCTCCACACACACTGCCCTCCACACACACCGCCTCCACACACACCCCACCCCCTCCACACACACACACACCCTGCCCTCCACACACACACACACACCCTGCCTCCACACACACACACACACACCCCCTGCCTGCCCTCCACACACACACACACCCCCCTGCCTCCACACACCCCCCGCCCTCCACACACCCCCTGCCCTCCACACACACCCCCCCCCCTGCCCTCCACACCCCGCCCTCCACACACACACACACACACAGCCCTCCACACACACACACACACCTCCCTGCCCACACACACACACACACACCACCCTGCCTCCACACACACACCACACACACCTCACACACACACCCCCCGCCCTCCACACCCCCCTCCACACCTCCACCAACACCCCTGCCCCTCCACACCACACACCCCCCTGCCACACACACCCCCCACCCACTCAACACCCACCCCCTCCTCAACACACACACCCAACCCCTCCACAACACACCTCCACCACACACACACACACCCTGCCCTCCACACACTCCTGCCCTCCACACACACACCCCCCCTCCACACACACACACTCCACACACACACACGCCCTCCACACACCTGCCCTCCACACACACCATCCCCCTTCCTCACACACACCACCCTGGTCCTCCACATACCATCTCCCCTGCCTCTCCACCCTGCCTCACACACACACACACACACACACCGCTCCACACACACACCTTCCACACACACACCCCCGCCCCCTGCCACACACACACACACACAACCCCCCCCACCCACACACACAACCCCCGCCACACACACACACACCCCACCCCCGCCCTCCACACACCACACCCCACCGCCTCCACACACACCCCCCACTGCCCTCTACACACACACACACACAACACCCTCCCCGCCCACACTGCCCACACATCCACCCGCCCTCCACACTGCCCTCCACACACACACACACCCCCCTGCCCACACACACACATCCTGTTCTCTGAATATTTCCCATTTTCTTTGATAATTTCTCCATTTTCGATAATTTCTTTGAAATTTTCCCATTTTCTTCGATTATTTTTGATTACCATTTCTTTGATTAGTCTCTATTTTTGATTAAAAATTTCATTTTCTTGATTAAATTTTTAATCAAAGAAAATGGGAAATTTTTTAATCAAAGAAAATGGGAAATTTTTAATCAAAGAAATGGAAATTTTTTAATCAAAGAAAATGGAAATTATTTTTAATCAAAGAAAATGGGAAATATTTAATCAAAGAATGGGAAATATTTTTAATCAAAGAAAATGGGAAATATTTAATCAAAAGAAATGGAAATATTTTATCAAAGAAAAATGGAAATATTTTTTTTTTCAATCAAAGAAAATGGGAAATATTTTTTTCAATCAAAAGAAAATGGGAAATATTTCAATCAAAGAAAATGGGAAATATTTTTCAATCAAAGAAAATGGGAAATTTTTTCAATCAAAGAAAATGGGAAATTATTTTTTTCAGAAAATGGGAAATATTTTTTAATCAAAGAAAATGGGAAATTTTTTCTAATCAAAGAAAAATGAAATTTTTAATCAAAGAAAATGGGAAATTTTTTTTAAAAGAAAATGGGAAATTTTTAATCAAAGAAAAATGAAATATTTTTGATCAAAGAAATGGGAATTTTAAATCAAAGAAGGTAAGCAATTTTAATCAAGAAAACGGGATGTGGGAGGGCGGGGGGGGGAGGTGGGAGGGCAGGGGGTGAGGTGGAGGGCAGGGGGGTGAGGTGGAGGGCAGGGGGGGGGAGGGTGGAGGGCAGGGGGGGGGGTGGGAGGGAGGCAGGGGGGGGGGGAGGTGGGAGGGCAGGGGTGGAGGGGAGGCAGGGGGGTGAGGTGGAGAGGCAAGGGGGGGTGTGGGAGGTGGGAGGGCAGGGGGGGGGTGGGGGAGGTGGGAGGGCAGGGGGGGGGTGGGGAGGTGGAGGGTGGGTGTGTGGGAGGGCAGGGTTTGTGTGTGTGTGGGGAGGGCAGGGGTTTGTGTGTGGGAGGGCAGGGTTTGTGTGTGTGTGTGTGTGAGAGCGAGGGTGTGTGTGGGAGGGCGAGGGTGAGGGCAGTGGGTGTGTGGAGGGTGGGTGGGTGTGTGGGAGGGCGGGGTGGAGGGAGGGGTGTGTGTGTGTGGGAGGGCGTGGGGTGGTGTGTGTGTGGGAGGGCGGGGTGGGGTGTGTGTGGGTGTGTGTGGGAGGGTGTGTGTGTGGGAGGGGTGAGGGGTGTGGGTGTGTGTGTGAGGGTGGGGGTGTGTGTGTGTGTGGGAGGGGTGGGTGTGTGTGTGAGGGTGGGTGTGTGTGTGTGGGCGTGGGTGTGAGTGTGGGGTGTGGGAGGGTGGGGGTGTGTGGAGGTGGGAGGGCGGTGTAGTGTGGGAGGGTGTGTGTGTGGAGGGGGAGGCAGGGGGTGTGTGTGAGGGTGGGTGAGGGTGGGTGGGGTGTGTGGGAGGGGGGTGTGGGAGGGTGGGTGGGTGTGTGTGGAGGGGTGGGTGGGGAGGGTGGGTGGGTGTGTGGGAGGGTGGGTGGGTGGAGGGCGTGGGTGTGTGGAGGGGGTGTGGGTGGTGTGTGTGTGGGAGGGCGTGGGGTGGGTGTGTGGAGGGCGGTGGGTGGTGGGGAGGGTGGGTGGGTGTGTGAGGGTGGGGGTGTGGGGGTGTGTGTGTGGGAGGGGTGTGTGTGGAGGGGTGTGTGTGTGTGAGGGGTGTGTGTGTGTGAGGGTGTGTGTGAGGGTGTGTGTGTGTGTGTGGAGGGGTGTGTGTGTGTGGAGGGGTGAGGGCGGGGGTGTGGAGGCGGGGGTGTGTGTGTGTGTGGAGGGTGGGGGTGGGGAGGGTGGGGGTGTGGGGAGGGTGGGGGGTGGGGGTAGAGGGTGGGGGTGGGAGGGTGGGGGGTGGGGTGGGGTGGGAGGGTGGGGGGGGGTGTGTGGGAGGGTGGGGTGGGGAGGGGGTGGAGGGGGGGAGGGTAGGGTGGGTGTGTGTGTGTGGAGGGCGGGGTGTGTGGGAGGGGTGTGTAGAGGTAGGTGTGTGTGTGTGGGAGGGCAGAGGTGTGTGTGTGTGAGGGCAGGAGGGGGGTGTGTGTGTGTGTGAGGGTAGGTGTGTGTGTGTGTGTGGAGGTGGGCGAGAGGGGAAGAGGGGTGGAGGTGCAGGATGTAGAGGGGCAGGGTGTGGGCGGAGGGCAGGTGGGATGAGGGTGTTGAGGGTGGGATGTAAATGTTGAAGGTGGGGTGTAAAGGTTGAGGGTGGGTGTGAAGAATGTGGGTGTGAAGGTTGAGGAGGTGTGAAAGGTTGAGGAGGGTGTGAAGGTTGAGGTGGGGTGTGAAAGGTTGAGGAGGGTGTGAAGGTTGAGGGAGGTGTGAGGGTTGAGGACGGGTGTGAAGGTTGAGGAGGGTGTGAAGGTTGAGGTGGGGTGTGAAGGTTGAGGAGGGGGTGTAGAGGTGAATTGGAGGTTAAAGGTGAGGTGCAGGTGAGGGTTGAGGTTGGGCTGTGGCAGTTGAAGGTGTAGAGGCAAGGATTGAGGGTGGGGTGTAATGTAGATGTGTAGGTAGAGGATGGGGTGCAGAGGTGGATGTTGTAGATGTGGAGGGTGGGGTGTAGTTGTGGAGGATGTAGGTGATTATTGAGGTTGGGGTGCATAGGTTGAGGGTGGATGTAGTGGTTGTAGGTGGGATGTGGAGGTTAAGGGTAGGTGTAGAGGTTCACACAGTCCCCTAGTAGACTCCCACAATGCCCTATAAGCAGCACACAACCTGAAACATCCCCAGAAAATGGAATAAACTCAACTCAACAACAGACAGTACCCAACATCACTACCTCCAATGCCCTTCTCCCACACTGCTAGGACCAACCCCTCTGACCAGGTGCTAATACTAAAATTGTTAAAACAAAGTACATAGGCTATATACCAACTCACCCCACACAAACGTCTTGCCCCTTGAGTCCGTTGTGGTGTGTAAACCTGCCGATCTGCTTTTATGGTAGTTCTGTGAAAGCAATGGTGGTCACGTGGTCCCGTAGTTACCAGCCACCTCAATCCTACACCTCAGACTGCATTCGCTGCGGCAGCGATATCAGGTGTTTGCCCCGGATGAAGTGGGCACCAGACAGCTAGCAGCCAAGGACACTAGAACACCACCTTTGACTCACCCCACAAACATGTCTTGCCCCTGTAGTCCATCATGGTGTGCTGTTTAATTGAAACAGAATTAAATAAATTAAATATCAATGTTCAGTAAAGTACATGCAAAGGATTTTCAGTTTGAAGTTAAAATCTTCCAGGATAATTATATGATGATAAATGTATGAACCTGAGGTAATGGAAATACATTACATTAGAAATACATTACATTAATAAGAGAACAAAACATATTGATGAAAGAACATCCTCTTAATCCTACTCTTAACCCTATTATATAATAAATCTCAACATCACCATACGGTACTAACTGCACCCAATTACTTGAGCCAAGGATTTCTGGCCAACTGTACGTCCACAGGTGTTTCAGTACACCTGCAGTGGAGAGAAAGTAGACGTCTTGGTGAGCATGTAGTAAAGGACGCCTGGTCGTTTATAGATAATGCTTGTCTTCCCGTGCTAGTCTCTGTCTCCACCAGTAAGTCAGAGTACACCTCGTCACCTCTGAAAAATGGTCAAAATTCTCCATAAAAATTGCCAAAATTTTCAGTAATAATTCTCCTTCAAAATTTACAAAAATTTCATAAAAACTGCCAAAATTCTTTAAAAACTTCCAAGTGCATCATAAAAATGACCAAAATTCTCCCAAAATTGCAAGACTTTGTAAAAAATGTACATCATTCTCTGCAAAAATTTCCAAAACTATCCATAATTTGAGCATGCCAATCCCTAGAGACAAAACTGTATGCCTCTGTCACTCCAATCACTAACCATTTACTTCTTCAACCTTCATAAACTCTTCAAAATATTTCATCCATTCCATGCACATATCACCTGACTATGAGATCATTTTACCAGATCTTTACAAACATATACAAGAGATAAAATGTTAAATCTGTCTCACCGTGTCAGTGATATATAGTGCCATAATCATGTAGCTAATGTGCTAGTAATAGGTCAATGTGGCTGTGCTATGTGGTGCCCACACATATTTACAAATCCAACTCAATAACTCTAAACAAGTGCAAGGTGTGGTTGAAGTTAGTGATTCAGGTCCTGCTATGAAGTGTTCCAGGTAAACCCTTGAGGTGAATTGGTTTTGTCACAGTATAGTGCAGTTGCCAGCTGAAGGAGCAGCGAACAATGGAGGTGCAACATGAATTACAAGCAATTAGAGAGTTGAGAACATATACTGTACTAGTTAGATATATATTACCGTGAAGTACTGTACAGGAAGTTACAAATAAAATTAAAGAAATGGAGTTTAAAACCTATTACAAATTTAAGTAATTACTGTATACATTAGTGATGAATATTTTATGATTAATTAACCTTATAACTAATTCCCTGACACCAAGACTAACCCCTTGGTTGCCTTGGTGTACAGGGATAACACAGAAAAATTAACACTAGTGGCCGAGCAAATAAACACATACAAACTTATAGAATTACAGTACAGTGCAATACTACACACACAGGCCTCACTGGTACCCCTGTAAATTCAATTAGTGAAAGGGTGTAAAAACATGCATAGTCACCTGATTAATTTATGGGACCAACATATTAATAAAGACATATCTTCATGCAGCACCATGTTTACAGTAACATGTATAACAGATTTTAATAAAGTGCAATTTATTCCTTTATAGGTATGGCTATAAATGTTTTTTTTTTTCATACGAGTAATTCACCATGCAGAATAACCCGAATAACTTGACCAATATAATTGATTTCAATAAATTGTGTAATTCTTTTGTGGATATTGTAAATTTATTTATTTACTGTATTTTAATTCATGTACAATAATGAAGAGGTATAATTAATTTATGTAAGAAAATAAATACTGTACCGATATTATTTTACATTTGTTATCTTCCAGTGTAAACATCTCGGGCCTAAACACTCCTGTAGCCTAATCATACTTCGGCTTAATTGTCTAACAGGCTCACAGCCTATAAGTCCCAAACTCATGTGAAACAAATGACTATAATGAAAATTTCTTCCTCTATTTGTTAATGATGTACAGTATACTGTATGCAAAATTACTTTTATCGGTACAGGTACAACATATAGCAAGGACCCCCCCCCCCTGTACATATTGTAATTTGTTCGTAATGTTTTGAACTGTTGACTTACATATATTCAAAATATTCTTACCTTTTCAGGTTGTTTGTACAATTGCTGTGACAAATCTTACCTTCGAGATCCCTGGATATGACTTCCCAATGAGGAACTGTACCAACAGAATAAGCTAGAAAATGGAATTGAAAATTTTATAGTTTTTAAGTTCATTTGACTTGTGGATACTGATTTCAAGCCATGCATTTGTATATTGTAGGAACATTTTCCCAAGTGTTGGTGAAATGCCTTAAATAAACAATGTGAGGCTTCAATTTACTTATATCATATTAATGACAAATGTGAATGCAGGCCTGTCAGAATTGTTTCGGTAGACACACTCATCGTAATACGGCTGAAAATTTGTCTCATCATCATAGACTCCATTTAGAAGGCTGAAGTCACAATTGAGATAGCTGAAAAAAGCTCACACATCATTTTGATATTTGGCTCCACGTAGTAATGGGTCCAGTGTGTGTGTGTGCGTATGAGAGAGATGCTGTTGCTGCTCTGCACAGTCATGGAAATAAGTCCTGTCAGTCATGTGACCCATCCATGAACCTGTGAATCCAAGTCATCACACAGTGTGCTATCTATGGGCCCAATAATGTGTGTGATGTCTTGGATTCACAGGTTCGTGAGTCTCAGGGTTCATGGATGGGACGGAGGACTGACAGGACTTTTTTCCGTGACTGTACATTCATAACATCCTGTGTCATGGTGAGTAAGGAAGGAGAAAAGTCAACCCAAAGTGTAGTGTTACATCGTAAGTGGTCCCTTAGTGGTGTTCATCAACGGGTCAAGTTCCAACTACACATAAAGATGGCTTTTTAAGAAGTAATATAATAAGGAAGTATAAATTTAATCAGATTTGTAGTCAGGGAAATTTTGTACTTGTGCTGTATGTTTGGATATTGCTTTCCTTCATCTGTAGTTAATTTCCAAGACTGAGATGGTATAATTACATTTCAGTAAACATGACGAAGTACAGGTTCATTTTTAACTTGAGAACCCTGATTGATTACTATATTTTAGGACATGCAATAAACAGGAACCTTAAAATCAGTAGGAGTAAAGCCTGATTTTTAACTTGAGAACCCTGATTGATTACTATATTTTAGGACATGCAATAAACAGGAACCTTAAAATCAGTAGGAGTAAAGCCTGATCACTGTGAAAAATATGAATGTTCTTTCCAATGATATCAGACTTTATTCATATGGATTTTTAGGTTCCTGTTCATTGCAAGTTATAAAATATAGTACTGTGATCATTTAGGGTTCTAGAATAAAAAAAAAATTATCCTGTATAAGCAACTTTCCTGAGATATATAGTTTTATATGATTTTAAGGAGAATACTGTACAGTAAATACTATTTGATTGTTATGCAGCATCTCAACCCAATGAAGTAATCACAGACATTATAGAGCCAAGACTGAAATTAAGTTCTTAAAAAAAAAGAAGTGTTTTATTTAAGCCTTGTTTTTAGCTTCTTGAAACATGACATAATTTTGTAAATCATTTCCTGGTGAATCAGTTTCTAAACTTGAAAATTATATGACTTTTTGTTATATATCTTGAGGGGGGAAACTTGAGTCAATTTAGCAAACCAGCTCGGTACCTCACCAAGTAGCCGGCCTTATCATGCAAGATGCTCCAGTGTCATATCTCAGCATTTATTTGGCTACTGCTGTATCCCTTTTAGAACAACCATTTTTGTATTGTATATATATACATATATACAGTATATATATATGTATATATGTATGTATGTATGTAATGTGAATAACAAACACTAAAAGTCAAGCAAGCCAAACATACTTAAGTGCTCAGAATGTTTCCTTCTGAATGATTAGATATATATCACTAAAATAGGTATTTGATAAAGATTAACTGATATAGTTATTGATAGTGTCTTTGGTATAACTGATGTGTAAATAACTAGATTAGTAAGTGGATTGTGAGATTAGGTATGAAATTTCATAGGTCATTTAGCATTTTGCTACTGTACTGTATGTGAAGATAATTTAAATAGCCACTAAAAGCCAATTTTGGTATCATTTTGTAATTATTTATGAGAAATATTTAGTATTGTGCATATACCATAGGTTTCATCATAAGTCACACTAAATAAATAAAGAGTTGTTAATTTTGTATTACAAGTTAATAATAAGAAGTGAAAGAGTGAATAGCATGTAGTAGTTGGCTGGTACAGGTACTAAGTGGAAGTTGTTAAGATACAACCTGTACAGTACATTTGTATTGTCATTACGAAATGCCGTGTGTGACCTATGGTGACCTGCAGGGGTTCCTCTTTCAACAAAATGGCCGAGAACATGAATTCTGAATATCTTGCCTGTGATTTCCAGTGTAATAAAATAATTAAGTACACCTCATTATGTATGCCTAAGTGATCATTACTAAAGCTAAATTCACTTTACGTTAGTGTTATCAGGCGAGAAAAACAATGTAGACAACTCTTCATAAGTTCCATCACACTGTTGTGCACTGATCTACTGTACAGTACTATCAGTTGGTTCTAGCACAATCATATTTTTATATTTCAAATGTGATTTATGAGTTCATGCATTTAATAGAGGTTTTGCCTTACTGAGAGGTACTGAAATAAATCATAGCAATGTACACTTTTAAAACTTTTAGTGAATCATGATGTATGTATCAGACCACAGTGAGGTAGGGATGTACCACAGGATTTATGTATCACTGGAAATGTGCAAAAAGGTTATTGTTATGAATTCGTTGTGCTTTCTTATAGTCATGACCAGTTTCATGTTTACAAACCATCCTGTGCAGAAATGTTAGATCTGATTTATAGGATTGAAGTGTGAACTGATTAGCACATGATTTGACTTTATACAGCAAACCCTTGTTAATGTGTGACCTCTTAAGGCGCTGTTCAACATTTATTGGACTTCTCTTTCCACACATGGATCTTCCCACATGACATGGTTTTGCCTCTGGCTGGGAGGCCGAGGATACTGAGTGAGTCTGTATAAAATGGATTGCAAGATGTCTTGAGTCGTGGGAAGTGGGTAGGTAATTGGTCTGGTTGGTTGCTGATTGGCCTGTGGTGGTGGAATATGTCACACTGTGTACTGTGATTGTCTATGTGAGGTGGTGGCTGCCACAATGTCAGCTGGCAGTGCTATGTGGCAATCAGCATCTCATATCAATTAGTTACAACCCAATATACACTAAAGCAAGAAATATATACTCTGTACATTAGATTGCTTAAAACTAAAAAAATCCTGAAGATCATTGAATGGCATAGATATAGTGGCCACAGGGCACCATACAGTCAACCAGTGATGGTGAATGGCAGTTGACATCCTTTGCCAACTGTTTACAGCCATATTTATAATAAATCATGTCAACTACAACTTGAATATATAAATGTATGATTTAAAGTAACTGTATGTACATTAAAATATAGCCTAAAATTGTTTGGTGGCTGCAATTAGTTAGTGGTGAAGGTCCTGCTCACTGCCTCCGACAACACTTCACTCTTACCCCAACACTTCAAACCCCCCACACACACACCTCAATTCCCCATCCCCATACCACCTGGTCACCACCACCAATGGAGTGCTGGCAACCCAACCTTATCCTACCCAATGTATTGCCTTTCCCACACACCCAAGCCTGAACCCACACAATGACATTTTGCTAAGTGTCTTTCTGAGTCACTGCCGACATGGTTTATCTCTGATAGCCATGGTAGTGCAGTGTTTTTTACTGTATTTTTTCTCTACGATTGATGGTATATAAGGGTTGTAAGGCAGTATATAAGGGTGATAAATTATAAAAATGAAAGGTGTTTGTGATCCCCTTGGCTACTGGTACCCTTATTTCCACATTCTGAATGTCTTCACAGTTACACAACCCATTTAGATATACTGTACAACCTCTAGTAAAAACGAGAGTTTTTCGAAATTCTTGTATCCAATTATAAATTAATTTTCCTCACACTCACTTTTTAACAAACCATTTTGTTGAAAGTTCCTTTGTTGTAAAGTGTCATTGATTAGGTAAAATAACTTTCAAGCATTTGTTTAAAATGCAATCTTTTTTTTGTATGCTTTTCTAACAGATAATGTGAACATGACCTCTGCTGAGAGATCATTGTTTACATTGTTTGGGTCTCTTTTGCTTTAATTCTTAGTTGCCATTGTTATAGGTCCACTAAGTGATGCCTTGTGTAGTGCAAACATTAAAACGGCTCAAGTTTAAGCAAGACAGTGACTGAATGACAAGTACCTTTTTACCTATAGCACCTTAGAGTGGCACTTGTGTACAGTACCACATTATGGCCAAATTATTATTGTTAATACACTTATTTTACATTTACACTCAAGAGAATGTTAGGTGTTTATGCATGCAGATAAATAACTTATGAAAATTATTCACCCTAATATAATGCCAACTTTGTACTTCTTTAATGTTAGTCCACTCAAGGTCTGACTGTAAATGTTTGAGTAATGGTTGATGGGTCAACCACAGGTTAGGCTACATACTATTTTGTTTATCAAGTGCTAATGCCAAAAGTCAAGTCATGGGGAGGGTGCACAAAATATATATATATATATATATATATATATATATATATATATATATATATATATATATATATATATATATATATATATATATATATATATATATATATATATATACTTCAGTGTATGTTTTTTCTGTTTCTAAGTCATGTATAGACAGATAAGTTTCACTATTTACAATTCTTTGTTGTGCCTCTGTGCTGCAAGATCTGTTTAGTAAGATCTTAACTCCTACCTGTTGTCATTTGTAAGCAGTGTCTACGCTGCTCAGGAACAAGCTTGGAAGGTACTAGGATGTTGATTTCAGTATATACACAACTTAACACAAAAGTCCATTCCTAGTAGTATTAGGAAAAAATTGAATAGGACTTCATTATTTATTGGTTAATAGTTATTTTTATATGGTTCTGACTTTGTATCCTGAAGTCTGTACAAAATAGCAATGACTTGGAAATAGTTTTTGATTTAATGGAGCAGAGAACAATCTGTAAGAATCTCCAAAATAAATTGTTCCTTGTTGTTGTGGTTTTGATCAATACTGTATAATATTACACTTGTGTTAGAAAATAAGCCTAAATAGTCACTCAGCAATCACTAAATTACAGGAGGTGCGGTGTTCTCAGATACTAGCTTGAGTGGGAAATCCCTCATCCTCTGGAATTTTACACCTTGCAACATAGACAATACATACCCTCGCCTAACCTGGAATTTCGGCCAAACTGGACCCCCCATTAGTCCGGATCAGAGGAAGTTTACTGTCATTGGAAACAAATTATTGGTAATTTTTGGCTGCAGAGATGTGGGAAATAGTCTACAGAATGTGAAATTACAGACAAATTCCTATATGAGCCACCTAAAATGTGTAGTGAATCATTGAAGATGGACCACTTCACCCCTTTGGCAACCTCCAGACAGTGAAAAAAATCTCAAGTATGGTCGTATCCATAAGTAGAGAATAGTGTCTAGAGCGAGTAAATGCAATAAAAATATATGTATGGGCCAGAAGTGAACCGATTCACCCTAGAAAAAGAAAAAAAAGAAACAAACAAGAAGAAACACAAAAAATAGTAATGTACTCACCAAACATTGTGGAGTGGAGTAACTTGAGGGAATGGTGGAGATGGAGTGGACCGGATGAAGTGGGAAAGAGTGGTAGAGGTGGAGTGGTAGAGGTGGAGCTGGTGCAACCCTGCCACCCATATCAGCGCCTCGGCCTATCACCACCACTACTGCAGGGATATCGGCAGCCTTTCACACCCCATTGCTACTAAAACAAGTGGGATGAGAGAGGGGGGGAGGGAGGGAGGGAGAGACTGTCGGAACACTGAAAGACAGATTGGTAAACTTATTTTCACTTATCACTTATTCTAACTTATCTTATTTTCTAATGGCACTTACTTTCTAATATAAATACTATATAAACATTCTACCACTTTAATTTCGGTATTTTACCAGGGAGTGGGAGTCTCTCTCTGAAAGTTTTCAAGACACAGAGGTGCCTGGCACTTGTGACACATGACGCTCTCATCTTCCTGCACCTGTCCCATTGTGTTTCTCTAGACTGCACATCACTGCTGTATCAGAAGAACTCATTATGAATATAAGAATTACATATTTATGACAAAATAGTGCATCAATGTCACAAGTTACATGTGTAAACACTGGCCAAGCAGGAAAGCTGCTGTAAACTCAAAGCTCATTGGCTGACTGAGCAACAAGATGCAACCACGATGCTAATTGGTTGCTGGCCGAGGCATATTTGTCTGATGCAAAAAGCAACAAATTTTGTTGGTTGCTAAGAGTTTACAAAACAAAGTGCTATACTTTGTAGTTAAATAATAATACTTTATAGATACCAATGTAAAGTTGTTAAAAAATTTGCCAAGCATTTTATCATCATTACAGTGCTTCCCCCTTGTACTTCTAGCCCCCACAAAACACTTCCCTAGATCCACCAGTGCAGGTTAAGGTCATTCAGTGTACATTCAATCTCCAGTCATCATCTGATCAATCCATAAGCCTAGCAATAATTTAATTCATACCCCATTTTCCATCCTTCCTTTCATTGTTCTACCTTATTTTAATGGCCAGTGCTCAGATCATATTCAAAACCTAGTTCACTCTCTCTACCACACCACACACATCATCTCATAGTATTTTATTTTCCAGACCTAATAAAAGGGTTTTCCCATTTCTACAACATTAACATTTTCTTCTATACAGTACATTTATTAATAATGTAGATTGTCTTATTTCTTTCATCATATTCTAAAACATCAAAGTACTTTTGCAAGTTTTTATTGACATTTTTGTTTCTATTAGGAGTTACAGATGATCTACTTCACCACTCATAACATTTATTTACTCTAATATTAACAGATTAATTCTACTTTACAAATAAATAACTAACAGCTACAAATGAAACAAACAGTGTATCTACCCCAGTGATACATGGATATATACAGTACTGTACCTGCACTTATAAATAAACACAATCCAGTTAATTCTTGGAAACTTTAAATTATCTAAATACAGTACTGGACTGTACCATAAGAGAGGGTGAGCCTCTTTCATGGTACTGTACACCAAGTGTAGCCACTTTACTATTTAATAATACTTTAGTTTCCTTACATGTAGGAGACTTATGAGGTCTGTTCAAAAAGACCCAAAATACAGCCATTAATTTTGATAATACGGAACATAAAACTTACCATAGTTCTTCGACATCAATAGTGGAGCACATCACTACAGTACTGTACAGTGATATCCCCATTAGCCACAACAATTGGTGCAGAGCTCATCTGGGGATGAGAAATTTCTGGGTAACTAGACGACTCTCAAACCCAGAAAAATCACCCTCAGAATTTTTGCAGGTGCTGGGAAAAGTTTCCGAGAGTCTAAACTACACATCTCACACAGAAAGACACTATGGCATCTCCAGAATGCTTCTGGGTGCTGGGGAAGTTTTCTTATTGACAATGTCTCCTTTACATTTACATTGCGGGCACAAGTGAAAATATTAACGGCTAGCGAAAGTGTGTATAAACTTTTATTAACAGCATCTGTTCTAATAGTATTAGAGAGATGAATTTGGTTCCATAATCATCCTTAATAAATTCTTTACACGACTGTTCCAATAAAAGATCCTGAAAAAATATTTTGACACAATATAATGATGGAGGCAGTGGAATTTTCCACCCTGCACTGGGGAAAAGCTTTCTCTAAGTCTAAACTATGCATCTCGTACGGACAGACACAAGAGCTGTATTTATTTTTGCAGACACCTCTGTACACATACAATATATTGTAAATAAACAAAATAATGTATTCTCCTACTGTACTGTATATACTGTACTCACCAGCAGATGCTGTCGTCTTGAGCGTACAGTAGGCTTACAATCAGCTGAATGTAATACCTAACTGTAAACACTTTTTATGTCTTAACACTTGCGACGGAAGTGGGGAAAGGGATTATTGGGTCCCATGTTACTGACCTGACCTGGTGCAATGTCAGGTCACCCATTGTATATAATCTCTTCTCTCATATTACTGACTTTCTAATATAAAGTCAGGTCACCCATTGTTGAGGTGGGGGATTAGTGGGTCTCAGGAGTTGAAGATGTCTTGAATGAAGACAAAAGCTAAAGGGCTCCAGTAGAGTATGTGATTCCAATCATGTTTTACAACTTAACACTGCTTAACACAGTATTCTTGGCTTATTGTGTCCTGGTACAGTAATGTACAGTACTGCACAACACAAATTGTATGTAAAAACAGCAGCTAGCGAGGGAACAACCTTCTACAATGGCAGCAGAATATAAACTAAGCAATCCAAGAAGCTGAGCAACCCAGACGTCTGGCATATGGGGACGTGTTGGAGTATGATTCAATCTCTCGGAAAAATTTATTCTCAGGCCCAGAACAGAGAGGTTAGGAAAGATTTTCTTGGAACCTTTT